CGTGTGCGCTTCAAGGTGTTGATTATCATCTTTAAAGCGCGCCATGGCATCGGACCTGGTTATCTCCGAGACCGCCTTCTGCCACAGATTACCTCTCATCGGCCGATACGCTCCCACAGAGAGGGTCTCCTCAGGGTGCCGTCAGTCAGACAGTGCCGGCTGGCGACCCCCAGGGGGAGGGCCTTCTCTGTTGGAGCCCTCTCCCTATGGAACGAATTACCCCCAGAGATCCGGGTCATTCCGGATCTCCCCTCCTTCCGCCGCGCCCTCAAGACATGGCTATTCCAGCTAGCGGGACTGGCCTAAGGGATATTTTAATTTGATTTTAATTTGATTTTAATTTGGTTTTTAACATAATTTTAAAAAGAAACAGCAAAAAATCAATATTTCATTTTAATTGTATTTTAAACTTAGTATTTTGTATGGTTTGTCTGTTTTTTAACTTGCTGTAAGCCGCCCTGAGTCCGCTAGGAGAAGGGCGGGGTATAAATTGAATAAAACCTAAAACCTAAATGTACTATATCAATCAATAATACTTCAACAACCAATCTCCTGACCAGCAGATAGAACCAGAGCGTGCTTGCCTTCATTCTTGCTGTCCCAGGCTACAAATAACCAAAAATGAAAGCTCCTTCTGGAATGGAAGTTTAAGCAACCAGCATGGTCCTACTCTTCTTTTGTCTATTAGATGGGGTTAGATTAGTCTCCTGCTTATCATTTATTCTCTATGAAAGAGATAAAAACTTCCAGACACCATTCACTCCACTGCCATTGTAAAGATATAGTATGTTTCTTCTCAGCTCTGTAGAGCAGAACCAGAATGATACACAAAAATAAATTTGAAGACATTTCTGTCGATAATATCAACAAAATCAATGTTTATTTTTGGCCATAATGACATGCAATCTTCAAACTTCTACCCTAGCCCATAGATATTAGTATATGCAACTCAAAAGTTAGAACAATACCTACCAATTCAGATAGAGTATCATTTATCTACAAACAATATGCACCTTCTTAAAGACCATATTTATTGCAGTATAGTCTTTCATGCGTTACAACTCCTTTTGTCAGATGCAACCTATCTGCTTTGGATCATCTATCACAGGCAACTGTCTTTGTAACTGAACTGTTTATTCTTAAATGTTAGCTGACAAATAAAGCTATCATGATTCAGATTTGCTAGTTCTGAGGAAAAGAAATAATTGAAGATTTGGTGACTCCATAGCAAATATTTATCATACAAACTTCATGTCTGTAATATGATCATCAAGAATAATATTTCTTATTCTAATGAAATTATTATAAAACAGTCTCAAGTCTTGGGAGAAATATTGTTATATTTATAAAAGTTTATTCTGCTGTAGTTTTAGTTTAACTTTTGTACGGGCAATGGTTTTTGATAATAAAAAGATGATATTATATGTATATGTCATAAAAATCAAATACTTTAGCTAAGAAAAAGACAATATAATACAGTATACAGTAGTAAACATACAGCATTCTTACAGTTGTAAGAATAAAACGACAAGGTTAACTATAAAGCTGTAAACAAAAACAGATACTTTATACTAAATCAGATAATTTTTTTATTTACCTCCTATGGTCAGCAATTTCCATGATTTCAACAGGTTATTATCATACAAAGAAAAAGAAACCAAAGCAGAATCTTTTCTAAATAAAAATATTTTTAGTATAATATAAACATTTTATTTAATTCATACTGCTGCTACTTCTGTTCAGTTAGTCAATCCACTTCGAATTATTTTGGAACAGCTTCCATATTATTATCAAATGGGCTTTAGAATGGCAACTTGACTTCAGTTCTTTCTTCTCCTAAATGCATCTCACCAGAACTCCAGAGCAACTTTTACAAATAGAGATGAGCAAGGGTACAGAATGAAGAAGAATGAAGGAAACTGTTTTATGCAATTCCTTTCAATTTATTAAATATATCACTCCCACTGAAGCAAACAATGTCGTAAACATGTCCCCAATTAAACATATTAAGAAAAAAATCCAATTTATTCTTTAAATATTGCACAATATCACAAGTTCCAAAAGATGAATTCTTATAGTCAGGGAACTGTCCTTAAAATATTGCCTGAGAATATATCCAGTATAAAAATGAACTGGAAGGAAGCAAAAAGTCCTTCTTAGAAGAGAAGCCCATTAAAGCAAAAGGTAAAGATGCAAAGTACACATATTGCTTCCTCCTTTTTTAAATAAATGTTTGAGGTAGATAAGATTTAATTTATACCTTGAAAAAGATGACTGCTGCATAAAAGAATGGGTGGAACCAGCATGTATGTGTGAGTTGACACACAGAATATATTCAAATATGAAAATAAGACATCAGAGTTATTCAATATGTGCCTGGAATATAAGTGACTAATATAAGAATACAGTACAAGAGCCAACTTGCCTACCATGCCTCCTACATCTGTGGAATTAAAACAAAAGCAACAATTGCATTCATTGGACTGAACCACAGTGCTATAAATATTGCCATTCCACAAAGTTATGCTCACGATAATTCAGAATTTCCATTTGTAATTCAAATCTAAGATTAGACATTGACAGTGAGCAGCTTTATGATTGACATGCACAAACTGCTGTCCAAATAATGACTGAAGTAGAAACAAAATCACCAGCATAAAAAAATGAAATCACAAAACTGATCATACATATTTAATTATTAAAAGTAGATTATTTGAAGCAAAATTTGTTAGCTATACCTGCCAGCTTAAAAAACTCTTCCTGAGGAATATGGGTCAGGCTCTAAGTTACCCTAATTCAATTAACACTGTCAATGGTCCATCATCCCACCCCCATTGCATCTTCAGTCACTTTCAACAAGGTTCTGGAGTTTCCAATGGACTCAGAAGCCTGCAGGGAGTGGATCAAAATCTTTCCTTACATTAAGTGAACTTTGTTCTGCTAAAAATTTGCCACATTTTAAGCTGTTGATTATGAAATCCAAACAATGACAAAAGTTTCACATTTTAAAAACTGTCAGTTTAATATTAAGTATTTTTTCCCTAATAGATTTTTTAAAAAGTATTTACTGTAGAAAAAGCTTAGTATAGTTTAAAAAAAACTATATTAGTCATAGCATAGATAGGCCACCTGAAGTTTTAGTCACTGATCAAGTTAGCTAGTAAGCAGTAAATAAATTACTAGCTTCTTATTGACATTAATGGAATAAAATAAAACAGCTTAGTATCACTAACTGGCAGCTAATCACCAGATCAAATGATTGGAAGGGTGAAACTGCTGGGTTATGTTTATGGAAACAGGAAAAGTTTAATGAGATGAAGAAGGCATGCATATATACATGGCAATTTGTAACACTGAAAGAGCAGCCCATTAATTCATGGGATTCAAACATTTGACATATAAATAGTTAATCTTTGTTCATATCATCATCAATGACCCAATTATGAATCTAACATTCTAGGAGTATCCAGGAAACACATGAGGAAAGCCTATCTCACATCATAAATTAGACTACAATTCTAAATATACTTCATTTCCCACACTTTGAAGGAAAGGAACAATATTAAATAAGAGTCATTGGGAATCAGGGCTATTATATAATAATTGGTCTTGATGAAATTCCTATGTTGAGACTTGCTCACCACTCTCTATAAAACAGCAGTGGAAGATTCCAAAATTATTGAAGTCGTAATATTTTTAGAATTTGTTTTCTAAATATATTTTCAGTATCAAACTGAAGCCTTTAGGGCAGGCATGTCAAACTCACGATGTCATGTGACGTCGCGTGACATATCGCGACTTTTTCCCCATTGCTGGCAATGGGGTAGTTGCAGTTTCATCGTGACGCATCCGGCCCGCAGTTTGACATGCCTGCTTTAGGGTGAAGAAAATCATGTATTATATGAAAAATCCAAACTACCACTTAATTGAAATGTGTGAACTTTTATCTATAGACAGCCCCACACATTTCTATTTTTAATGAGCACAGACAGTAGAAAAAAGACAAAAAATAACTTTGCAATACTTAGTGAAGGAGAAGGGTCTATGTTCCAAGAACTTTTTTCAGTTTGCTTATTCTAAGCAGTGATTAAAAACTGACTTATCACTAATTTTGATAGCTACTTACATTCAAGAGAAATCCGTTATTTTACTATATCATGTAAAAATAGCCCAACACGCATTATTCTATGGATTATGAATTTTTATAGTGTTTTTAAATTCAGGGCCTAGAAAAATACAATTTACCAAAGCAGCATCAAATAAAAAGCATTTCTTACCTTAAATACTTTGCCAAAAGCTCCATCACCCAATTCTCCTATAATTTCCCAAAAGTCCTCTGGATTCAAATCTCTTTTGACATGCTCATACTGTTTCTTTTTCTTTTCACCACCCAACTTGAAGATCTTACGGAAGTTAAAGAAGGACATATTTGCCCTTTTTAGTTCAAAAACTATTTTAAAACTCTTCAGAAAAAAATAAAGCAGTTGTTCTCTCTGTTGTTTGGTCGAAAAGAAAAACAGTACAAAATTGTGACCTCTGTGCTATGTATCAGTAACGATGCTAAGAAAGGAGCAGACAAGAACAATTTGCAGTCTATATTTTCGATTCAGCACACAATAATCCAAGGTCAATCAGAGCCAGTAGCAGCCACATGCAGTTTCTCACATGCAGTTTCTCCTCAAGTTTATCACTGTAGGTTTAGCAACCTAATACTCATATAATTAGCACTAAGTTCTTCTAATCACTCAGTGCATATGACCAGGCTCCAGAGACACTATCCAAAAAGATGTGTTGATCGTTAACAGTCTGAAAGCTGAGGAGTGGAAAAAAAATGCCCACTTGATTCTTCACGATGAAGGATCCAATATTAAATGGCGAGCATGTGTGCAAAAAGCAGACAGCTGTATTCAAGTCCTGCCCCTTATTCAACAGCACAAGACTACTAACATCGCGTCAGATGCAACTCTCCTTTCCTTGGTGGTTGAAAACTTCAGCAATCCACGAGAACGGAAAATATGCATCTTCTTTCCTAGCCTAGCGCGAGAGACTTGCCTTCAAGAGCATTGTGTCTATTGGGAGAGAGGCAAGAGACAAGGTATAAGTGGAATAAGAAGATACTCAACAATTTTTTTACATATATATTAATTTTTTAATATGTATATTAAAAAGGAAATGAAAAGTTATTTCCTATGGAAAAATGGACTTACATGAAAAAGCCTCCTCCCCCCTCTTGTTTTTCCCCTCCCTCCCCTTCTTCGTTGGAGAAAGATGGAAGAAAAAATAGGTTGGGAGCAAAATAGTTTTTTTTTTAGGAAAAGCAGCAGCCCTCAATGGTGGAAGCTGCTTGTCTTTTCCAACAAATCGGGGAGGGAAAGAGGAGAATGAGAAACTCACCAGCCGAGACGGATTTTCGTCTCCCCGCGGCGGCAGAGGCGATGGGGAGGATGACGCCCGCAGCCTTAAGCGTTCTTACTTCCTGTGCCTCCCCCACTCCTTCAGACAGGGGGGCGGAGCACAGGAAGAAGGCTCGGTGGTCCTGCTTCCTTTGCCCCCCCTCCCTTGCTCTTGTTCTATCAAACGCTCTCTCGCGCGCGCGCGCGGGCGCGCACGCAAGCAAACGCCCCTAGAATGGCTCCCAGCGCTTTCGCCCACACCCCACGCGGCGCCGCCTCCTCCTCTCCCTAGCGAGCTACGCAGGCGCTCTGGCACTCCAGTTCCCTCGAATGCGTCTTTCCCCAAGCTTTCATCCTTTCGCTGTAATTCCCTCCTTCGGTTCTAACCACCGGATATTACCACAGCAAAAGGCGGGACAGGAAAAAAAAAAAAAAAAAAAAGATGAAATCTCTTCCGGTTTCTCTACGCTAGCTCGTCCTGTCCGAGACCGGGCCGCCTCCGTGAACAAGCCAATGAGAGCGCGCCGGTCCCTTTGGCGGGTAAGACAGGCCGTGTTTAGAATTGGGGTCAGAGGAGGGCTGGGCTGGGGGGTGACTAGGAGTGGAAGCGCGAGGAGGTCCTGATATGGTTTCCCCGCTGCCGAAAGCCGTGGTTTTTTTCGGTTTATTTAGGCGCTTCCTCTGTAACACGGCAGGACGAGAAAAGCAGAACAAAACGTTTAAACTGGTGTGCTGGGCTGGGAATTTGAGACTTAATGATCACTTTCTTTAAACTGAGAATGCTTGAATGAGTACAGTTAGTCGTGACAGTTTTGCCGGCAAATCTGCAGTTTAGCCCTCAGTACTCCCCTAGTGGAGCCACATAACAGGGGATAATGTTTCCTGTTATGAAAACGGGATTGAAAACATTAAAATCGGTTCGAGATGAAATACATTTTAACTTGCCAATGTTTACATGAAAAAGCGTGTCATATATACGTGTGAGTTATGGTAGTCATGAATAAAATCTTGTCTCGGATTGATGAAGCCGTGTATAAGAATTACATTAGCCTACAGGTAGTCCTCGACTTACAACAATTCATTTAGTGACCATTCAAAGTTACAATGGCACTAAAAACAGTGACTTATGACCGTTTTTCACAGTTACAACCTTTGCAGTATCCCCATGATCATGTGATCAAAATTCAGAGGCAGCTGGCAACTGGTTTATACTTATGACATTTGCAGTTTCCCAGGGTCATGTGATAATTTTTTGCAACCTTCTGACAAGCAAAGTCAATAGGGAAGCCAGATACACTTAACAGGTTACTAACTTATCAACTGAAGTGATTCACTTAACAACTGTGGCAAGAAATGTAAAATGGAATGAAACTCACTTAAATTCTCACTTAACAACATAAAGTTTGGGCTCAATTGTGGTCGTTCATCGAGGACTACCTGTATATACTTTTTAAAGAGCAAAAGCTCTTTGTGCCTGGATGTTGATTCAAAAGCAAGTGCTGCTGATCTCAAAAGTGCTTTGCTGGAGTAAATATAGTTTCAACCTTCATGAAACATTGTAACAATACTTTGGTTATTTAAAGGCTTACATTGAGCGAAAGGAATGTCCAAAGCTACTTATTCTAGAAGAACAATTATGGCTGCTGCTTCTATTCTTGGTCTAAAGCAAAAATGCTAGATTACTGTTATCACCTGTTTGCAAATGTCTATGAAGATTCTCAGCCATCCAGGTCATAGTTACCCCAAAGATGCTTTTTTCACGAGGCAACTGGACTTTGTTTTTTCTTTGAAGATGTTTCACTTCTCATCCAAGAAGCTTCTTCATGACACCTGTTTGGGACACCTGTTTGCAAATTCAGAGTAGTTTCATTGCTATTACTGATTTTGTTGTACACGTTGTATAGCTTCCCGTTTTTCACAAATAAGCTTATTAAATCCATGTCTTATAATTGAAATTCTTTCATTTTTATTTGAGAACTGGATATTTTTTTTCTGCTTTAGAGGTGTTTTTTTTTAAGCCTGAATTTTTGACTGCTACATTTCCCAGTTTATTCCTGAGCTTAGTTCTCTTATTAAATTCTGCTTACCCTTGGAGATGCCGGTTTCTTGATCTTGGAAAACATAGTTGTTCACAAGTTTCAGACTACTAAGGAGAATATTAAGTATTTGTCCATCTTTCTAAATAGACTTCCTTTTATAACTTATTCTGATTTCATAAGCATATTTTACTTTTAGTTTCAGTTTTATATTAATCTTGTACAGTTCCTGTACATGCTCATTTAGCTATCAATAAAAGAAGCCTCAATTTTTCATCTGTCTGCTCACTCTGATCTGGGAATCATTCTTCCTTCCTTCATGATAGAAATTTTTTTTTTAATGAAAATTGCCAGTACTATAATAATGATATGGCATTACCAGTGTTAATTTAAAAAATCTTAATAGTGTAGATAAATGTGCAGTTTTCTCTGAACAATTTAAGGAATCCAGCCAACTGAGAAATATGAAGTTGTAGAAGAAACTTCATAAGACTAGATTGCTGGGACATAAATGAGGAAAACAAACATCTTTGCTGACTTGCAAAAAGATGGGCAGTTTTTCATGTGAAGGCAGTAGAAAAAAACTTTTTGAATAAAAATATTATTATGCAGTTTTGTCCTATATACTGTTATGTATCATTTGCAGACAAAATAAATAATGTGAAATTGGGATAGTCCTGCTGCTTCATTATGAACATAGTTTCTTTTTCATTCAGTTTGATTTGATGAATCTCATTTGTTCACTCCTTTGGTAAAGTGATATTTTTTTTACAAATTAAGTTAGTCCAGATAGGTATTTAAAGCAGATCATATGGTACAGTAGCCTAATTTGAGTTCATGTTTGTGAATTCTATAACAAATTCATTCAACTGCTGTAGAAATTAGATTCTTGTATTAATACTGAAACTAAAAAAAACCAGTGGATTATATAACTATGCGGGGAACCAATTTAGGATCTCCTTCTTAAAAAGGAGTGAACTGATCCTGTTTTGCAGTTAGTAAGAGCCAAACTCCTGGATTATTGAAGATGGTTTAAATTAAAGCATACACTTTTTGTGTCTTTTTTCCCCCTGCAGTGGTGTTTTATATGTCAGTAAGGCATCAGTCTTATAGATACTTAGTTAAATTAAGCTCCACTAAATACAGTTGAACTCAAATGTCCAGAGGCTTGTTTAATAAGTGTATACAATGTTATTTTTTCTTGCATAGTAACAATAATTTTAATATTGTTTCTTTATAAGAAATAATACATTGTTTATCATTTTATGAAAATGGTAATTATAAGCAAAAATACTTTTAAAACCAGTGAAATTGATCTTTTAGGTCATAGAAAGTAAGCAGCTTATTACTAACTTGTCAGATAAAGCAATTAAATAGCCCTCCTAAAGATAAAATGTCAGCTTAATTGTAGTTGAACTTCATGTGATAAGCTCTTTTTGCAGAGATTATTAGGAACACAAACCTTCCTAGTGTTTTGATGAGGAAAGAGAATGAAACAGAATTTAAAATGGTGTAGTCTTAAAGTAGATGAGGCAAACATAGTTAGACATCAGTATATCTGAAATGTTCTCTGATATTTACATTAAAATTTCTCTTAAAGAACAGTTGGCTGGATAAACAGTAGTCTTAAGTAATTTTTATTAATATATGTTTGTGTATGCATACTATTTGAACTAGACTCAGCAAAGCAAACATGTACAGAATTTCTGAGCTTTTTAATTGTATTGTAAACTAAATCTTCACATGATTTCTCAAGAGTTAATCCTGTTGATCTCCTATTAAGGGTATTTGGGACTCTACTCTTAGTAATGCAATCATATTAAGATTGAGGTGTGTATCAGTTAGGCTCAATTGTGTTGCTATAATTTAAAATAGATTCTATTTTTGGTTTATATACTATATTTCTATATTGTTAAATTTTGGTGAGCTTGAATGCTACCTCTGCAAGAAAGACAGAAAATGTTATACCTGAAATGTATTAATTATTAATTAATAAAAAACATGTGAGACAGCTTATTAAATCCCTTAGTCAGAATCAATATTATCATATTAATATTAATTATTGTACTTTGGTACAGTAGATAGTATTACAGGCACATGTCAATGTACTATGCAGTATGGTTGATCAGTGCTTTGAATTGGAAGACAAAAGTTTTTCAGACAGCATGGGGTGAGCATGCAGCACCTGTTTTCTGTTTCTTAAAGTCTGAGTATGTTTCCTCAGGAGGAGAAAAGGTAGCTGTACAGTCATGTGCAAATTGGACTGTATGGCCCTCATAAAGTCCCAACGCACTCTTTGCCTCCAGATATGAAGTACTGTACAGATCTGTTCTGTGATAGGAGCAGAGGGTAGCTTGTAGGAGTTACTATAGGAGCTCCTGTGCAACTTTACTTCACATAATATCTCTGATTTCTTAAGTCTGATAGTGTTTCTTTTTTCTGTTGCTGAAAAATAAAACAAGCATGAATTATCCTGTCACTTCAAAGGGGTCAAAAGAAGATTGTGTAGCAAATACAGAACATGCTAAGGTTCAGCTAATTAAGAGAAAAACTTCCAGAGAATGAAACTACAGGAGCCCCGAGGATTCTCCGCGATCCAGGACGCCTTCGCTTCGGCGAAGCTAGAAGCCGCCGCCACCGCTGCAACTTAAAGTTAACTGTGAGTTTTATTTGTAAGCAGACGAACCAACCTTGGAAGTTTGTTTTTTATATTGGACTTTACTCTAACTTGGATAATAAGTTTTTCCCTGTACTTGTGTTGGTCTGAGGAAAAGTGAACTTAAAATGGCGATCGATTGATACTTTTCAGCAAGAAGTGAAAGTGATTTCCGGTTTGTAACTTTTGCTACTTTGAATTTGTGTATTACTTGTTTTGGCTGAATTGCCTACAAGATTTTTTTTACAACTGGAAATTTACTGTTAATATGGCTCTGACAAAAATTGTGCCT